ATGTACAGTAATGGGAAATCCAGAGTCTTGACTGTTTAGCGTTAGCCATTAGCTTCAGCAGCCACTCACACGGTCACCTGGTTTCTGAGCTCCAGTTGTTCTAAAGAATCTCCTTGGTCCTACATAATCTTCTCACTCTGTTTCTACAGGGACTGTGCAATAGTGGAAGGGCCGAGTGTAGACGACATCCCAGACCGACAACGCTACGGACCAATGAAGCTACTGCAGTTCCATGAGAACTACCGTCCGGCGTACTGGGGCACATGGAGTAAAAAAAGTTCACAAATCTCACCTCGGTGCCCTTTCAGACAAGACATGGTAAAACCATTTTATCAAAGACAATGTTTACTAATAAACTACCAGAATAATATAAAATGTCAGTATTGGTATTTTTTTTTTATTAGTACTAGTATTTATGCTTTTCTCCAAATACCTGTATTGACAAAAAATGAAAACTATATTGCTGTTTTTTCTGATTATTTATGAATTTATAGAATATGTGTGTATGTGTATATGTATGTATGTGTGTGTGTGTGCGTATATACTGTATGTGTGTGCAGCTTAAATGAAACCAGCTGTTGTTGTGTCACCACAGGATATATTTGATTATGAGGTTGACAGTGATGAAGAATGGGAGGAAGAGGAACCAGGAGAGTCTTTGTCTCATAGTGAAGGGGTAAGTTTTCTTACAGGAAGAGAAACATGTAGTTTTGTATTACACTTTTTTTATTAACGTGTGCTTTATTGAAGTATGGTGGTGTGCATTTTTTTGCTGTTTTGGATGAACTGTGTGTAATCTGAAACGTGAAACTTTACAATCAAACAAAACTCTTTCCCAGCATTCTGCCCAGGATTGGAAAAGACTAAATGGTCCCAGTTAAACAAGAGAAGCTTTATTCTGAACAGAGAATAAGCTGTTTTTGTTTTTTTGTTAATGCTGTAAGAACAACCAGCCTGAAAAAAGTCAGAAAACGTTAAATTGAATTAACAAAACTCTGATGGCCATAGTCACTGTTGAGCGAGCATCTACTGAAAATAAAACTATAGTTCCTTTTTTTCAACTTTTGATTGTTATTTTTTAGGAGGATGAAGAAGAAGGAGGTGATGATGAAGATGATGATGATGATGGCTTTTTTGTTCCTCATGGCTACCTCTCAGATGATGAAGGGGTCCTGGAGGAAGAGGTAAGAAAAGAACTGCCTTTTTTTTCTTTTTATAAAATACAACTTTTACATAATTAACTCCTACACACTGAAGCCTTAGTATGTTTAGAGTTGTTATTGTTTGTTATGAACCAGACAGGTTTAAACTTGACTTAAACAGGACATAAAATTACTGGTATTATAAAAATTCATAGAAGTTACTCCTCTACCCTCTGTTAATGCATTTATGTGTATATAATGCCAAAGTGTACTGCAACTCCCCCTTTGCTTTAAAAGCATTAATAAAATCTAATCCTAGTGTGTAATGCTACCCCTAATTTCTTACAGACTTGTGGAAAAACAATATTTCGGGGATGCATGTGTGTTTGTGGCTGTGGAGAAGCCTTTTAACTGCAGCTAGGGCTGGGTATCGATTCAGATTTTCCAAATCGATTCGATTCACAACGATTCACAATGAGTCACAACGATTCACGATTCAGTTTGATTGATTTCTAAATTAGTTAAGGATGTCATGCAGTAACACATTTACTTTGATAAAGAAGACATTCTCAAAGGAACTAATTCTGCAAATAGTAGAAACTAATTCTAACTTGGTGCTTTGGTAAAATTATAAACATTAAGGGCAAACTTGTAAATTGGAGTTTAATCTTGAAGCAAAACTGTCTCAAGTTTCAAAGGGTTTAAACTAAAAAGGAAGAGTAGGCCTGTCACGATAACAAATTTTGYTGGGCGATTAATTGTCTCAAAATTTATTGCGATAAACGATAATATTGCCTGGTGACCGTTTTACAACTAATAATTATAAAAGCGTAATGTGTAAGTGTAATAAATCAATAAACTTTCAT